GTTTTACATTCAGAGCTAGACCAATCAACATAGGTCCTTACACATGTATTACTGGTGTCTTTGTTCCCTCACTCAATTGGACTCGTGTTCACTGCTACCATGTTGTGGATCATGGTGGATGATCATGCAGGTTACTTAAGGTCTTCCTCTTGCACTATCCCTCGATATTTTTCATACACTGAGGATGTTACTGCACTGGGGGTGGTTCCTGTCTGATTGGTTTTGAGTGGGATATTTTACAATACAGGGACATCTTTATTATTCCGATCATCCAGATCATCACTTTGCTATCATGTATCCTGTTCACAGATCAGTGGGTATGATATTTCCATCCGGTCTGCTGAACTTGAGGTAAGGACAATATGATCCTCTTTCCTACCTCCACTAGTTGGCTGAGTTTTGGATTGTTGTTGACTTGCTGGCAGTATGATTCCCATCCTACCCCTGCATGGATTTCAGTTTCTGGTGGCTAGGTTTTGGATGCAGTTGACTTGCCGTGTACAGTCAATTGCACCCTAGCCACTCTACACCTTGGGGCACATCCTTTTTACTCTCACTCACATTACTGTCATCTATGGGATTGAGATTCAGATATCGGGTGGTTCAGATCCCTATCCAACCATTGTTTTCTCCCTTTTGTATGTGCTCCTCCCACGTCTATATCACCATGGTGCGGTCTCGAATGTACGATCCTTTACTGTGAGGATTCCCCACCACTTTTAGGGTGTTCTTTGGATGCTTCTTTCTTTCTCTTGCACTGGCCCCTCCACCTATTCAGTGTGGGATTCTAGCTATGTACCATATTGGAAGTTATAATTTTCCTATACTGAAAATGTATTTCCGATAGGTTCTTACTTCCAGTTGATCGTAGGGTATGTGGGAACATAAAGCTTGTGGCATGCAAAAAATGTTTGAATATAGAGGGCAGCACTGAAAGAGAATAGCTATTTATGTGAGCGGAGGTAAGTACCTATCAAAAATAGATTTTCAGTATAGGAAAATAACTTTCATTTGGTCATTTGTATTAGAAATGCATAATTGGCACATGTAATGTATAGTATATGTTAATAAATGATAATTCTATAAGGATCTGTTAGATGTTACTAAGAAGAGGAATTGGCATGGTTCATATAAATGAACTACAGTTACTATTTTTCTAGTGTATTTAATTGAAAGTCTATTCGGGCAAATCTGTATTAAACATAAGGACTTCAGCTTTAACCCATAGACCTTATGGGAAGTGAATATACTATAAGCAAACAAAAACAAATATCTGAAAGTAACTCTTCTTAATTTGATAGTATTTATAGAAAACATTGATTTTGATAATGAAGTATAGTGTAGTGTAATAATGTCTAATAAGAAATAGAGTTGAAAAAAGTAGTACTTACATACCCTAATTTTTCATGGTAATCTTACCATAAATGCAATTTTCTTTTGGCCAAATGTGCTATGACAAACGTGTAATAACAATAGAACATTAGAGATGTGTGAAATCAGCATTTTGTTGTTTCAAAATAATACTATTCTGTACAAAATAATTTTATACCATGATAATTGTAATCTCTACCATTTACCATTCCTTGTACAATAAAGAGGCACCTTTATTCGGGAATCAATAAATTGTTATTGTAGAACATTTATTTAGTGTAATTCATGAAGAAAACTGAAAAAAGTTTAAGTTTTTATATCTATACAGGTAAGAGGAATTTTACTTGTAAACAACCTAAATGTAATTTATTTTAGAATTTTTGTGCTCATCCCAAAGATTAACTTTATTTTTGCTAAGAACCTACCACCCTTTAGGAATATCTTATATTGACTTTTTCTTCTGATCTTTTTATGATGTCACATTTACTAATGAAAAACATCTTTAAAAGCAGCTATAAAAAGAACATTAACTATGATTACATAAAGCAAGAATTAGATTTTTCACATCACAGTAGAGTAAATATAGCAATAGTTTTGTTGGAAAGTTTCTAGTGGGAGTAAAAGTGTTTTTGTGTTAAATTATATCTGTTTGAAAGCTACAGAAATGTTATTTAATTCAAAGACATTGGGTAAGTTCTAGTTAGGTTTAGTGAGTATGGTAGGTGACTACAAAAGAGTTAACTGTTCTCTTCTGTTTTTATAAGGGGATGTTAGCAATATTTCTGACTTAGAACATTTTATACGAAATATTAGAATTGATTTGAATCATGTAGATATATTTTGCAATTGATTGAGAGATCAAAAATGAAGCATCAGTATCAAACAATGTTTTCCTCATGGTTTTAAATGAGATCAATAGGCAGTGTAAAAGTGCTTGAGGATTGAAGAATTGCTGATGTAACTATTATTTTTAAAGAAGTGACAGAGTTTTACATCTGTAGGGTAAAAAATTTGAGAGTTTCATAAAAGAAACTTTGCAAAATTGGGTAGTAAAACTTGATACTGTAAAAGAAAGCCAACATTGATTGATGAAAGGGAAATCTTGCTTAAGTAAACTGTTGACTTTTCTAAGATGTTACTTGTTATCTGAACAATGAAAAGTGTGAACTTGGTGTATAGAAGATTAGCTAAGAAAATTACATTGGTGGTGGTTAAGGAAAGACTATTTGATTGGATTTTAAGGTGACTGAGTGAAAGAAAGCAATTGTTATTAATGGAGTCCATTCAAATCGTGTTACTAGTGGTGTGCCTTTGCTTTTTTTTATTTACATTAATTATTTTAATAGGGGCATAATTTTCTGAAAACATTAAACTCTAGGAGTATTTCTAGCTGTATTGAGAATGTTGAAGCACTATAGAATGATATGTATCAATTGGTAAGTATGCTAAATACTTGAATAATTCTTTTGATTATAGTAAGTGCAAGGTAATGCATCTGAATTATCATAATTTGAGTTGTGTATATTTTACATAAATGGAAACCTTTTCAGTAGCATGACTGAAATATAGCATTTTGGCATAAATCACTCAAGCCATAGAGCAGTATTGCTAGCAGTAAAACTAATTGAATTTTAAGATCTATTTATAGGCAGAATGAATATAGTCAGAAGAAATAAATATATCTTTATCAGGCAGGCAGTAGCTCTGCCTATGTAGGGATGGCTGGGATCGTTCATTGAAATGGTATTTTAAATATCTCCTCAATAGATCCTCAGAACTTTACAATACTATACAGTGTTTCATTTTATAACAATATCTGTGTACTGACTGACTGAGTCCCAAATTCTGGGAATCTCTGTAAATATCATAGTAAAAAGTGTGAATTTCATGTTCTTCTTTCTTCTGCTTATTTTTTATTACATGATAACTCAAAAACCAAAACAATGGTGTCAACAAATTTCACTGAGGTGACATAGTTTTAAATGAAGTATCTGCTTTTATAAGTATTATTAATAACTATTAGTAATTTAAAAAAATCATAATTCTAGT